TCGTATGGCGATGACCCGGTGCAGAAGGCCCCGGCACCTGCCGTGCTGTCCTTCCATTCGCTTGGGCACGGGTGGAAGACGTTCGTCAGCGGCCCGTAGCCCTGAGCCTGGACGGAGAAATAGCTAGAGTCGGTGGTGTCGGTGCCGACGGGGAGTGTCCACGTGAAGGTATAGCCGTCACGCTTGACTGGGGCGGCGCCTTTCGAGGACCACGCCCAGGGGTAGTTGGTCTGTCCTTCCGCTAGTTTGGCACCACTATACTCGTACAGGACTTCGTTCTCGACCATGTAGTGCGTGCAGATGAAGTTCCCGGCGTTGAAGTTGATTGGCCATGCTGGCATTTGACAGTCCGTATCCGGGTCTGTAAGATAGACGCGCATAAAGGCGTATGGGACAAGGAAATCGGCCTGGATGGTGGTGGAGGTGGCTGATTTGCCGACTTTGACGTTCGTGACGGCCTGGTTGTTGGGCAGACTCTGGGTAGTAGCAGACACCGAATTCGAGTCTATGGTCACCTTTCCGTTCGTCCCGATAGCCCGTACGGTGAAGGACATGGAGGATCCTGGGCTGATGTTGCCGATCGTCACCCGGGCCATTGTACCCGGGAGGCGAGCAACTTCGTTCCCGTCGCGGTATACCGCGTACGCGTGTGGGGGATCTCTGTTAGAGATATCCCACGTGAGGCTCACGGACGAATAGTCAGAAGCGGTCACTGATAATGGGCCCGGCGGCAAGGTACCATGGTCGTCGGCTAGAAACGGGGTGGGATCTGCAACATCCGGTCCGCCACCCTCGATTGTGTCCATAATGGCTTTCATATAGGCTTCATCGGGTAGGGTGTCGTACGGATTGGGGAGGAGGTCATTCGTAATGTGGACAAGGCCGGCTCCGCGCTTTAGGGCCAGCGCGGCAACCTTTCCGGCGTCCGCCTCCGGTACACCGTAGATAATATGCCAGAGCTTGCGCGGGTCCTTGGGTGTCCAGCCAGGATTGGGGACGTAGCTGTTCATGTACGTGTCGTAGCTCTGCTCAAACGTCATGAGCGTATCGGCGCTGTAATATCGTTAGTCTTTCTCTTTCAGGACACGCAGTGGATAGATGCACACCTATGTTCAAAGCACTGTGGCATTGTAGCACCCGGATTGAGCACTGTGAAGGCTCCTGAGTGTTTTCGCTTCGTAGCGTCGGTAATAAAACGGTACAAATCTGCATACAGATTGTCTGGCCCACAATCGTTCCAGCCCTCGTCGAAGAAGATGCCGCCGATCTTGCCGGGATACAACTGGTACCACAAGTCGACGTCGGTTTGGATCTGCGAGACCCAATCGGCAAGGTCGGTCGAACCAAGCCGGGTCTCGAAGGCCTGCTGGCTCTGGCCTAGATACCCTGTCCGCACATAGCCAAGGATCCGTTTTCCCGATGCATGGGCCCGGTCGATGACCTTTGCCCAATCCGCATTCACCGTCGTGTCGGGGCCGTTGAGGACGTTGGCGACCAGGACGCTCACCTTGCTTGATGAATAGGCAATCATGCGGTCCCAAGCGACTGGGTCAGCGAGCGGATTGACGTACGATGCCAAGGCGATTTGTTCTAAACGCAGCGATATCAGATCAGTCTCTTTTTTCTCTTTTCCTGTCAAATGACCTTGAATTGCTAGGGCGATACGTACGGCCGTCTCCAGCCCCATTCCCATTCCCGTTCCCACCCCCATTCCCAGAGTTGGGGCACGAGTCGAAGGTGAACGTCTCCGGGATTGCTGGAAGCCCATGATCTTGCTCGTTCTTATTGACCATTTCATAGATGACCAGCGAGGCAATGATCTCGTGCAGCAATATCTGGGGATGGAAAACACGCCCGTATCTAGTCATCATCAACGTCAAGGTCTCTCGCGACAAACCAAAGTCTTTGTCTTACCCGTCTGGAAGTAAGTTTGGAATTCTCGGACCAAGAGCACTGGCACTGTTGACTAGTCTCACGTTAGAGGAGGCAACAGAAGCAGTGCCAGCGTCGGAGATAAAGGCCTGCTCGGTGAACTTGGCATCTGGATCCATCAGACGTGTAATCTGCGCGAATTGGTTCACGGTGCCCTCGAAAGTTCCTTCGAATGGCTGATTGTCGCTCCGTTTCCAGGGATTTAGGCCCAAGGGGTCCATCGTATTCAGCTCGTAGAACATGAGACCGGTTCTGTAGATGTTACTATAAGCTCCGTTTATGGTTTTGAGATCGAGCACTCACCTTGTGTTGCTTTGGACTGTTGATTCGTCGACACCGTTTTCACAAAAGCGGCCATTGAAATGGCCTACCCAAGAGTCGTAGTCTACAAACTTGACCTGGGAACCGGCTCTCTTGACTGCAGCCGACTATAGAGCAATTTCAAGGTTAGTAACGGCTTCAAAAGATTACGAAAGGAATCAAGACGAACAATTTGTGAGTTGGCGGCGTCGACAAGGTCGTTCATTATCTTCCGATTAGCGCTCGTCAATTTCTGCGCACCCCGAAAGAGGCTGGGTATTTTCTGGCGGACAATCAGTAAGTATTATGGCAAAAAAGGCATTCGTTTTATGGCCTACTCACATATAGAAAGGTTGACCAGCTAACATTATCACACGCCGATGATAGATCTTCTGCAAAGAACTTGGCATACCTGTATAGAGACTGTTAATAATGCCCAAAAGGACCCGAATAGTATGGCAGTTACCCGGTGTAGTAAATCATCCCACTATCCATTGGTTAGCTTTCAGACATCGATGAGGGTATAGTTTACTGACTCTGAGCTTAGCTTTCCCTTTGCTGCCGCAATAACAGAATCCAAGCTTTTGCTGAAGGCATCCCCAGCAATGATGTCTCTGGTGCGATCCAACTGCTTCTCACAGCCATGAGCTAACGAGTCCCAGTCGTAATCCGCCGCCCATGGAAACAAGTCTGGGTGTTTCAGAGCCGCTTCCTTTGCCATCTTCACAGTCTCTGGAGCCAGGGCGGCGAATCCAAAGATGCACTGGTTTAGGATCTTTGAGAGCTCAGCATCATTACCCCCTAAGATCCCACTCACGTCAGTTCGGTTCATGGAGAGGGACTTCAGATGTATACGTACCGATTGATAGCAAGATGACTTGCTGGTTCCCGTTGATTTGAGGGATCTGTTTGTTGAGGACATCGGCTGTGACTGCACCAGAGCAAGACACGAACTGAAAAGTGCGTGCTGCTGGGTCACCCAGCCGTGGATCGTTATTAATGAGATAGGGATAGGAGTGATCATAGCGACTGCACTCCCAATCTTTTCAGGTGGGACAAAATACCGATTAGTCCATGCGCCACAGCATTGAGTCAGGGAGCGATTGATTTACCGGCTTCAGCTTTAATCCGGTCACCAGCGCCTATTCCGGCCGAGTAGGAGTCGCCGAGGGCGGCCATTCTCGTGATGTAGGCAAGATCTGATGGATCGAAATCAGTGGTATCTCTTGCCATGAAGCGCTGGTAGTTCATGCTTGCATTTCCTCGCGCATCCCAATATACCAGGGGATTCGCAAGGGCGCAACTCCCAAGGGTAGCAATGGTCGCCAGGCCATGCCATAGTTGCCCGTACATATCGAACAGAGGAGACGAGTAGACGAGGAGACGGACGAGAAGGGCAATACAACTCAAGAGTTCACAGACATGAGAAACTTCTTATAACCACGTTCATGGACTGAGAGTAGTCTTGTGGAGTGCGCCCTTTCGGGTTCGCCTCCCCCTTCCTATCCATGAGAACAATACTACCCCTTTCCCCGCTGCTACCCTAGTATCTTGGAAGGTCAGACGAAGTATGACAGGCACTAGAGATCCACCATGAGGCACCTTTTTCGGATAGCAGATATTGGCCCTTGGCCGCCGCGCTTTCCGGTCACGAAGACACCTTCCACCTCCTTCCAAACTGGCATTGGTATGAGTTGCTGGACTGAGACACAATCATAAACGAGAAAGCCCAGTTGGGACGCTAGGCGATGCCGTCAAGAAAACTCTGAGTCGATATTTGTCAGATCTCGTGGTGTAGCCGACGCACGAGGCCATCAGGCCACGAGGTAGATACGCTGAGCCGTCCACAGTCTGATGCGTTGACGCTAGGATTGGGGGTTATATTAAAACAACTCCCTCTTTAGTGGTTAGCTCACTGCCTTAGTGTCAAGAGTTTTTTCTAACCGACCCTTTAGATCGTACCTCGTATCTAACCTAATCGTAGCGCCGGACGAAGTCATAACTCCGTGGCGGACCGCCGGGTAATAAAAGCTTTCTTGGCCAACTCGGCGGCGGCACAAGCATTGGCGGAGATCTGATTTGCCTCTCTTTCCATATACAGCATAGTTTATATATGTTAGTTAGATTTAGATTCTTCGAACCACTAGAACTGCTAGTGGTTTCTCCATTAGCCATATACAGGATAGTTCATCTATGTTAGTGCTCTATATGTCTTGTAAACATAGCCTCGCTCATTGAAAGTCCATGCCGCTACTACGGATCCTGCATATTGATCAGGCTGATTGCTTCACTTACCGATACAGGATATGTAGCACTCTATCATGCGCCTGGGGCCTTGCATTTGACTTTCCAGAAGGAGCCTTAGCTCTAGTTTATACTAATATCCCGCATTAGATTAAATTTATGCTGTTTTAGATTGACAATACGAGAGATGATACTTCATTTGCCATACACAGCATAAGTAGCACTCTATCATGCGCCTAGGGCCCTTCCATCATACAACACTAAGACCCTCCTAGTGGATCAAGAAGGACCCACGGTCACACTCCGGTACTAGTATTGCATGTTAGGTCGAATTCAGGCAATTTCGGAGTTGAAAAATACCATATGGGCTACAGTACGCAAGATTAAATGTAACCTTCCGAGGGGGTCCACCCAGAGCGTTCGTTGCCTAGGAAGGACTGGCCGTCAGAGATAATTTAATATCAAATAGTGATCCAAAGAGATATCGGTGGCAGAGACTGGAGCTATAATCACATTTGATCTGCTCACTTGAGTTCTTCTTTTATCTGAATCTGGATGCCGGTCTGGGCACCTATGTCTCTGAGCTCCTCTATCAATCCATTGTCCCAATACTGCACTTCGTGTGTCATCCTCGACAACAGACGAAATCCTCGGAGGCGAGGCGTGAATTTCTTCCAGTCTTGTAGCCATGATCGAACAGCCCTCAATAGGTATTCAATCTCGAACTCCCACTCCCATTCCCATTCTCGCTGGAGACATAGATCGTCAGTGAGGGTGAGCCATTCGATGTTGTTTGGAAGTGCTTCCCCTAGGCCAACTACATTTGGCTCCGATGGAGAAAATCCAAGCAGAAATGGAATTGGAACTTCCAAATTTTGCAGCTTATGGAGTCCGCTAAAAGCTTTAAAAGACCCACGGAATCTGACCTCCGGCTGTTCAGGGGCTGATTCTGAGAGGTCTGATAATGCCATAATAGACAAGTCCGTCAAAGTTGCTTGAACATGAGATAGATCCGCGGTGATTTGGTCTAAATTAATTATATCCGTGACAGAGTGATCTTTGAGATCTGGGCGGTAGTACCACTCCCATTGAAGCTTGCGAAGCCCTTGAGTGACTGCTAACACTTGACCAAGAGGCCCTTCACGCAACATCTTCAAGTCAAGCGATACGAGTTTTGATGGATTTGGTGGATATTTCCCAGGCCACATGAAAGTGGCAGTGGGGTTGTCGACTAAGGTCGTTATCTGTTTAACTGACGGCAAGTAGAACAGGGGCAGGACATCTGCCGTGTTCCTGACATTTGTGAACCTGCGGATGTTGATACCAAGGTCGGGATACACAACTGACACATCTTGGAGATGTGTAAAGGAAGGGAGATGGCTATTTTGGGACTCCTCACAGAGGGCTGAACGGAGAAACATGCCCATGAGGCGGCTCTCTCGGGTAAAATTCTTGCCTAGATAGAGGCGCTTCAGACTGGGGAGTTGTGATAGTAAGAGTGTGACAAACGCATCCATCGTTCCGGCGCGCAACTCTTGGATCCACTGTTCAGCATATGGAATCTGGATCCTTTCAATGCGTTTCACTAGCTCGTCCAAGACGACCTCAGTAACTCTGAGTTTAGGACTTTTCTTTCTATATTCCCACAGCACGGGATCGAAACAGTCTCCATTGAGGATCATAACTTGGACAGAACTGGCGAGCTCGGGCCTGTGCACAATGGTTTCCAAAAACTGAGCAATCGGGGGGTTCCGAGAGTCTGTCCATGTCCATTGAACCTGGGTGTAGAGGAATGGCTCAGCGATTATGCGGAACCTCCTATTGACAAGACATAGTGCATGTAGTTCAGCAGGCGATAGTAACTGGACTACTAAGTACAATATTTCTGCTGGGAAGCTGTCTAGACCGGATGCTGCTTGATGTTCCTAGAGATATTAGTAAGAACCTTGAACAATCCTCTTTGATCACATACAGGTTTCATTACCAAGGGTGTAAGCTTCCTGCTCTTTTGAGTATGCATACACAAAGAACACTGAGGAACTGGTACGTGGGAACTGATGAATAACAGAAATTGAAATGTGAGAAACGTGTCAGGGACCCCAAGTGATTGTTGGTACCTATGACTCCGACCTTCGATACATGGTGGCTGTTGATTAGATTAGGTACCTACGCTAGTAATTAGTGGTACCGGAGCGATCCGCCAGATTCAGCCTCATTCGTGGATTTCAGCAGTCAAACTGAATTGCTCCTTTTTCCTACTTGCGAAAAACCAACGAAAGGCACTACCTACTTGCCCCACCAAGTTCGAAGTTGTGGACTTGTGATATATTATCATACATTGGACTACATCCAGACGTGTGAGGCGATGTCGAATTCTCGACCCACAGTGGGCCAGGGGCATAAAATTTACTGTGCTGGTGGCAAATTAATTCACTTAGGTATCTCCTATTTCCATGCTAAACTAAGGTCTCAGGCATTTCCGGAATAGAACTGATAGTGTAGTGATTTAACCGAAACAATACAGGTTACCATGCAATTGGCCTATCGGGTGAGCGTTTACAAGCGGAACCGAGTGCAAATTAGCACTGAATTAGGAAAATGCCGCAATATCTAGTAGTATTAAGTACAGCGCCGGTGCCAACAGTTTCGGAGAATAGGCCTGCTCTATGGGCCAAGCCTGGATCGCCAAGGCCCTAAACGGACCGGGGTAGTCATCCACTGAGAGAACGAACGAAGAGGATTGGCCCGGAAAACAAGACTAGCGCCAAGCCAAGAAAACCAATGGCTTAGCGAAGCTTAGTCCAGAATCTCATCAGCATCTAATTGATCATGTCTCACACCAATAGATTTATCTGGGTACCTGGACTAAGGTAGTCTACTGCTGCTAGAGCATACATTTTGATTGCCGCATGATCGATAGTAGGCCCCTCATGCGCTTTTCAACGGTTGATCGCTAGGATGGTATCCAGTCCGTGTTTTCTGTCAATTGACTTGGTGGGGTATCTCTATAGCAGTCGGAGCATCCGGAATCCAAAGAAGTGGTATCTATATTGGACGATTAATGGAGCATATACAGGGATCTTGGTTCGCCGACACCTCAATACTGATTTCCCGAGGTAGGTCGGATCCGTGCTATTTCAAGTTGACAGATACTATACGAGAGGATACGTCGGGAATCTCCGAACCATTACAATTACTGTTGACTGCTTCATTTCCTGTATATATGATATTTGCTCGCATTACTATTGTCTGATGTAGATTCTGTAATGTCTTGTAAATTAGCCCCACGTATCAAAGCTCTGTGCCACTACTACGAATAGCACTCTATTGCGCGCCTAGGTGTCTCTCTATTAGACTTTTCTATGGGCTAAGAAGAAGCCCTAGCTCTAGGTAGACTATACTAGCCACTAGTATACCATGTCAGGTCGAATTCGTGCTATTTCACGTTGACAATTACTATACGAGGGAGAATAGCAAAAGAGCAGATGTAACCTTCCGGTCATTCTCTCGTCTAGAACAAACATCTATCATCTATTGCCGTTCATTGGCAGGATCCTATCCTATCGGGGTAATCTATGGTAGCAGCACTAGGAGAAGTATTTGCCAGGATAGTACTACTAGTAGTATTCTACGGTTTCTACCCCTATTGTAGAATAGGACTCTAAGGCAGACTTTTTTTAGTCTGAGAAATAGAGACTGGCAAGTGTAGCGAGAAACCTACAGCAGCCCTCCTTTAAAATGGCCCTGGGTACTGACCTTCAGGGTAACCGGTGGCACACTGCATCCAGATTTACTCTAGGTAGGCAACCTCTCTTCCCCTGGTGTGCATTATGCTCATAGTGGTATAGCAGAGGATTCTACATCATGATTATCCCCAGGCTTCTCCACCTCATCCTTGTGATCTGGTGCGCATTCAGCGACGGGTATGATCTCAGCGAGCGAAAGCAACCTCAAGGTCGTCTGGGCATAACGCTCGATTACGGCCTTGCAAAGAGTTGGCCGCAAGGAATCGATGATAGAGGCTCGGATACTCAGCGGAACTGGTTTTATAGCAGCCATCTCACATTCAAAGAGCCGGTTAGCACGATCACCGACGGCCAACTTTGGCAAATGGCGGCCGATGCATTGAGCGAGATTCCCGGTGTTCTGTCCCAGTACGGCATCTCCAGAAAGAAGGGCTTATCCACAGTCATGACGGTCCTCGCTTTTGGCAATGAAATCATCCTAGCTTCTACGAAGAAGGGCGATGATAGTTTCACGTATGAGTTTGGTGGTGGGAATACCCCGGTTGCCAGGGCTCTCCAGCTCTGCCAGGCTGTTTGGAAGGATAGAGCCAATCTTGGTGAAGACGATGTACTTCCCATCCACAAAAATCAGGGTCACTGTGGAGAGCCCATGGCTGCACACCTGTACTATGCTTCGCACACGACTCCTTTAGCCGAACAAAACGCAAGAGTTGCTACGATTGTGTACAAGTCGCGAGCTCCACCATGTGGTACCGGTGCGACGGTGAGTGCGGCTGGCTACCCCTCGATTCGCGACTGCCGCGCCGCAGGACTGACAAATTTGCGCTAGGACCATTGGGGATGCAACTTATTTGTTGAGCAGATGAATATGAGAGTGGTGGACGTCGATCGTGACAAGACTCCCAATGAGTCTTATGATTTGAGCACTCTCGCAGGGGGAAATCCGGTCATAGGCCAGATCTCAATATGTTCTACGCCCACTGCAAGCTAGATATTGAACGTCTTATTTGTGGTTGCGTCGAGCCATTTGACTATTGGCAAGTGGCTCAAATGTGGGAGGATAAATATCCGAGAATATCAACATCCAACTCGATTAGCTCGAGTGGAACACCTGCGTGAGCGCCTAGTTCCCTGAGTTGGTCCCTCATCCTTGGGGGCCATTCATTGTCGTCATTCCAGCTTAGTAGCAGAGTAATGCCACGAAGGTGCGGCGTGCATGCCTTCCAATCCTTCAGCCATAATTGAAGCAAACCTAGCATGGCGTCATCCGTCCACTCCCATCGAGGCAATGTCTTTACCACTCCATCTTCATTCTGTGGCCTCAAGTCGTCCGTGATGGTTAGAAATTCGATTTTCCTTGGGATCACATCCTGCAATCGGTTCGTCATGTCCTGTGCGAACCCCACCAGGAATGGCCAGGGGACCTGAAGTCTCTTGAGCTTGTCGAAACCAACCATCCCTTGCAACGACCCCACCATCTTTATGCCAGGAAGGAATTGGTCACCACCTCCTAAGCCGCACTCGGCTGAGAGGGTCAAATCCGTCAGAGTACCTCGAACACGAGATATCACAGCAACAATCCAATCGAGATTGACGATAGGCGTAGTGAACTTGTCTATGACACCATAATCAAAATACCAATGCCAGCGAAGGGTTTCAAGGTTCTGGGTGAGTGCGAGCAGTTCACTGAGATACTCCTCCCGCACAATGGTCAACTCAAGTGATGTAAGCTTTGATGGGACAGGTAACTGTGCTGCAGGCCACGTAAATTCAGCTGGGTTCTCAATCGAAGCTGACATGCGTTGGACACTCGGCAGATAAAAGAATGGCAAGACATCTAGAGTAGTTTTGACCTTCATGTCGCGGGCCCAATCCTGACCGTCGGGTTTGAGGAAAGAGACATCTCGGAGATGCCGAAAGTCGGGCAGGCCATAATGCACGGGCTCACAGATCGCAGATCGGAGAACCTTACCGACAAGTGCACTCTGTCGAGTGAAGTCGTTAGCAAGGTACAGATATCTCACATTCGAGAGCTGTGCTAATAGAAGAGCAACAAAAGCATCTATAGAACCTTGGCGCAATTCCTGTATCCAAAGGTCGCTATAGGGGGCTCCAGTGCCCTGGATGAATGCGATCGGTTGGTCCAGTTCAGCGCCAGAGACCGGAAGTTTAGGAATCTTGAATTGAAAAAGGGAGTGATCGTAGAGATTGCCGTCAAGGTGTACAGTTGTAATGTAAGCAGCTAGCTGAGGCCTGGATAAGAGTGTCCGTAAGAGTTGAGTGATTGGTGGAGGACGGCCAGTTCTTAGCCAAGTCATCTGGATTTTTGAGTAGAGGAATTTCTCAGCAAGAGTGCGGCACATTTTATTAACAAGACATAGTGCATGCAGTTCAGCAGATGATAGAAACTGGAACACCAGGTATAATATGTCTGCTGGGCAGCTATCTATACTGAATGCTGCTTGTTTCTAATGACATTAGCAATAACCTTCAAAGTACAAGTCATGACAACATACAGGTTCCATTGCCAATGACAGAATTGATATAAGTTCACTATACTTTTGTATAAGCACACACAAGAAGACTGAGAATCTTGTACATGGGAAGTTGGGAACGATGGATAGAAAATCTGAAAGCAAAAAAGCTGTCGGGGAGCCTAAGTGTTAGTCACTGTAACCCTGACTTTTAGTTCTGAACTGCTATTGGACTCACAACTTAGTATGTATCAGAAAAGGTTCAGTAGGTATTAAACCATAAATTAATTTTAAAGGATATAATACCTTTTAAATAATCCAGTTTCCCGCATGGGCAAATATTCCCAGCGCTCGTAGATATTAAACATGTCAAGGCCATTAAGCCTTCTGTTCTCCCCGCCACAGTGCATTTTAGTGGCGTAATTTTGCCTGACCTTGTTCCAGAAGATTGGTTCCACAAGCCTTTAAAGTATACAAGCGACAGGCCAAAGACATTGATCAGGATGTCACACTGAATCATATTACTTCTTTCTTCATCTGTTGTTGGGTCATCTCAGGAAGGATTCCTCCTATGCAAACTTTCTCCAAGGACGGACGGAAGATTACATCCGGTCCCTATTGGGGCCGATTTGCTACAGCAAGTACAATGAAGTAAGGCCATCTTTCCCTAATAACTATAGTTGCCCTACGTGTCCTTTCTTTTGTGCTGATGAGTTTGGAGTAGTCTTCGTTCTTCCTCTTGGATCGCAGATCGAGACTCCTATGTCCCTTTTGACCCTCTTGAAATGGAAACGGAGAGCCCCTATTACTTCTTTTCCATGAAGAACAATTTCCTCCCATCTTGCCTGCGCAGGTTGCCTTGACCACAGTGTCAGTGAGGAAAGTGCAAATAACTAGGCTAAGTAGCCCAGCTTCATTCCAACGCGGTCGACTACAGCAAACGACCGCAGCACAACAAGCAAGCCAGCAACATGACACACAGCCTGCAGATGAAATAGTAAGAAGCCTAAATATATCGCCTATTGGTTTCCCATAGTGTGCATACCTGTTCCACTCGGAGAAACAAGCAAGGGCCAACATGGAAGTCAAATTGGCTCGTGGATTTATCATCAGTAAGGCATTGTTTACTGGTGTTCTGATGAATTATGGTGAAGACGGCCGAGGTACACAAGTATGTTAGCATGACCACCATAGAGAATCTAGCAGTACTGACCATTTCATGGACTGCGCTCGGAATAAGAAAGCTTGAGTTATCTTTTTCACGAATCGCACCAGCAATTGCCAGAACCTGATATAGTCTCACTTCATTGAGAAGAAGCACAAGCCAAAGGAAAGTCTATAACTCCAATAAGAACTTGGTTGACTCCATGGCAACTGTGGAGCGTATCGACTTTGTTTTCCGCTTTGAGATGCCTTTGACGGACGAATCTTGACATGCCGCCTGGAAGTCGGCGATGAAAATCAGACAAGAGCCAGTATCAACCTCGGAGTTGCAACGCAATTCATCTCCCAAACGGGCAGATCAGATCTTCCAAGTCATGAAAGAAAAAAAAGGCAGCTGGAACCAGGTCGATGCTACCTTCTCTAAAACTATATTGCCGAGCCAGAGGTGCAGATGCCGTCAGAAACATGGGACGAGTTTCCACATGATCTCAACAAAACAGCTAACTTCTACCGGGTACTGGGCTGTGGATACCAAGGATATCTTGGAGGGAAAGTTCAAAGACAAGGAGGTCTACGAGAATGAGCTACGTCTGCGTTTCAAAAATGGTTCTGATGGCACCTGATATTGAGGCAGTGATAATTCTCATTGGATCCATCCAAGTTCTTTCGCACTGATACACTAGCCGACAAACTGAAAAAGCGACGCCTCCTCGATGTGCTTGACGCGCTCGGGCTCCGCATAGCTTGCCTTGAGAACATTCATCCTGTAGTAGAAAGCCCCGTCATTCAAGACAAACATGCTAGGCAGACCGTGGGGAATCAGAGCAAGACAATCATCGGGCTCAGCACGAAAGCCAAGGCTGTACCATGTTGAACAATGTGCGCACGAACTGACTCTGGAATGCTGCCGGCATTCCTCTTTCAGATACGGGACAAGATCGTCTTCCATGACGACGGTGAGGTACATGTCGTCATTTGCGCGGATTCGCGCCCGCCCTTCATGTACCGAGAGCTGAAATGGGATTCCGGCGCTGTACGGATTGCCGCCGAAGATGAGCTTGCCGTTGAAATTACTAGCATCACCATACCAAAGGCCGTCGCTAGTAACGGGATACAGAGCAAACTGTTTATCGGGATGGTAGAGGTCGATTCCGTCTGCGGAGACAGGATGAGCGGGATTGAGAATAGGTTCGGAAAGTGATAGGATAGGAGCATTATCAGTGCTGTCGGTCCTATCTGGGTCCTCTGGGTCGATCTGAACATCAAGTGCTTCGTCAATATTGTCCGTCCAACGCCCCTCTCGTGAAATGTACTGTGACCCGCGGCAGATGTGAAATACGTTGTCCTTGTAGAGGGGATGACTGTTGAGCTGGCCAACATATGTGCGGTCTCTGATTATGTGGATTTCATCATCCGAAAGATAAAACAGGCTGCCATTGCCATGGTAATCACGGTGTAGAATGAAGCCGTTATCGTCATAGCGAACAGCGAGGTATTTGCCAGTGACTATGAAGCGAAACGGCCTGTCTAGTGCCTCGTCATCGGGATTGAGCTGTTCTTCTGCCATGACAATCTGTTATCAGAGTCAGAGACTCTGGCAATCTCATAAGGTGTTCAGTAGTTACTTATGTTGGAAAAGCCGGTTTCATATCTCGGTTGGGTAGTAGATAGACAGGACACAAGTGGATGAAGAAAGGTTTAAGTTATATACACAATGTGGGTCCCAGGCAACCATGGGATTTCAGCTTAAGGTTCATCCCCACAGTTTATCAAGGTAGCATACTGAAATAGAAAGGAGATACATGGGTTCTCCTGCATCGATAATGCCATCATCATGAGACAATACTATATCTTATAAATACAGTCACTGCACCACTTTGAAAATCCTGTCTCTCTGTAAGAATCAATAGCCGTATGACCACTCCAAAATGTCCAGTACAGGACCTAGAAGTGATGGCAGAATCTGGGCAAGCGACGACCTGGAGGGTCTCCCCCCAACTGTGAATATTTACCCATGGGAAGGCCCCGATCATTTCCAGAGCATCGTCGACTCAGAGCTCCATCAATTCAAAGATCCCCAATGCTCATCTCCCTGCGACTGGATAGTCTTTTCCAACGTCTCTGAAACCATTTTCGAACGCGAGTTCGAAGAAGAAACCGATCTGAGCAAGCAGTGGAAATCATATAACTGCTCCCGTCAACTGCTCTTCGTTGAGATCGCCAAGAGCACTTCCGAGCATACTGAGGCTACGCAGACTTTCAATTATATCCTGAAGGAAGCGGTCGATCGGATGGGACTGTCGACTGCTTTGAAGAATTTCTCAGGCACCAAGGTTCGAGGAGATGACCTGGCCAAAGTACCGGATAATGGCTGGGGTCCAAGGCGTCCGCCGGCCGGCCGTTCTCGAAAATGGCCGACGGTGGTTTTAGAAGTTGGAGTCTCCCAACGGAAGGCAAAGCTCCAGGAAGACGCGCGTTTCTGGCTGGAGGAGTCAGAAGGCGACGTTAAAATCTCACTAGCAATATCAGTGAATCGAAGAATTCCAGAGATCGTGCTAGAAAAGTGGAAGGTCAGCAACGGAAAGGCAGCAATGGCACAGAAGGTAATGGTCTGGCGCCACAATGAAGATACCTTGTTCGATAACGAGCCCCTCATTGTCGAATTTGAGGATCTGTTCTTGCGGGAACCAGACATCCCGCGGGAAGTCAACTTTGAGTTAGACAAGGGCAATCTGCGGCGCCTTGCCGAGAACATCTGGCTGGAGCAGGGGTTCATGGAGTAGATTCGTGATCCGGGCTTCTTCAGGTCCTGGGAAAGCCTCATTAGTACCACCAAGTGATGGAACACCGGCAAAAGGGTGATGCGAGCTTAACACCTCGATCTTAAGATATGCTGAATTACTAGCAGGGTAGAGGGTCAGGATGAAACCTTTGGGCTAAAGGGAACCATGACGGTACGTGCTCAGCTAGTAGTGATATCCAGGATGATGTGGCTTATCCTGACAGAGACCTGAGAGAAACAAGAATTGAAGTCAGTGATCCACTGTGAGGTGACCTTTCGGAAGTGAAAGGATAGCTATACACTAATGGATGACTGCCTAGTGGATATAAAACAGCAGTCTGATAGTAATGCTGATTCATACATTGTATTAGAGATCGGCTGATTTATCACAGCATGTCGTAATATGGGTATCAACATTGCGATTGTAAAATGCTCGGCTCTAATAATCAATGCAGAAACATTCCCTGGATGCAAGCACCACCAATTTCTATAAGGCTACATATGAAAACGGTAAAGGCATCAATCAAGCCTCTTCAAGCCCCATCCCCTTGCCGATCTTTCGAATCAGTGCCCGCTTCAAGAACGCTTCACGCGCCAAACTGCGCGTATGCCGCGACCACGTGTCAACGCCAATGATTCCTTTGACCAGAGCAGCTTGCAGGGCGTAAATAGCCTGCTGGATTCCTCGTTCTTCGGACACGAGGTCATAAAGCTGCTTACCAACCACGGTAGGCGCGACGAGAACCTCATCGATGGGCGGCAGAGCCGATGGTGCCGCGTCTGAGCCCGAGCTTGAGGCATGGGCCTGAGCAGTGGACGAGGAGATGCGTGCCTGCGCGGCTGCGATCACGCCGTCGGCACGGTGTAGGGATTGCTGGAGAATGGAGGTGTTGGACTGCAGAGTTGAGTTGAGAGAATTGAGAGAGGAGATCTCGCCTTGTAAGGTTGCGATGGCGGCTTGAAGGGACTGGGACTGGGAGAGGAGGGACTGCGCGGCGGACTCAGACTGGGAGACGTTGGTTTGAACAGTCTCGGCGAGGGTCTTAGACACAGCGTGCAGGAGGGCGTCCTTCTCAGGGTTCGGCGGGATCGGCGGTGCGGGCCCCGTGGGCGTGAATGAGGGAAGTTCAAGCTCGAAGGGTGAGGTCAGGAGATCTGGTGTTTGCGTCCTCGGTTTCGGCGGCGGCTGCATTTGGCTATGAGGTAGAGGTTGCATGGCCGGCTGCGGTGGCTGCTGGTACCGAGCACCATTCTGCTGGTACAATGACGGATGTGCAGGAGCTTGTTGCACAGGGAACGGCGGCTGTTGAGGTCCTCGCGGTAGGCTGGCAGGCGGGGGACTTCTGGGCGGGACACCGTCGCCTGGCTGATGTGCTGGCCCAGCCATATACGCTGGAACTGCCTGGACTGCAGTGTGGTATGGTGGTTGCGACAACCCATACGAGCCCGCTGTCCCTCCAGGTGCACCACTTCTCTCAGCAGGGTACTGGAAAGACCTGTTGGGGATATGACCGCCCGTGTTCGCATGGAATTGCAACGATTGACGTCGTAGATCTTGTTCCTTTGGCGGTAACGGCGGTAGAGGTGGAGGAGAGTTGTACCTCCCGGCTTGTGGTACTTGTGGTTGTTCAGCAGCAACGGCCTGCCCTGGTTTTGGAGGAGGCGGCGGCGGCACCTGCCCAGTCGGCTGCGGCGGAGCGCTTGGAGGTGTCGGCGAAGGACGATGCGTTGACGGACTCAGCTCTGGGGGCAGAGGAGGTAAAGGGGGCGGTATCTGCGTAGGCCCTGCCTGTTGAGGTCCTTGAGGTACCTGTGGTTGTTTGTACTTGACCGGCGGTTCCTTCGCAAAGACCTCCCGAAGGATCATAAGGAAATCGACGAGGTTCGATCTCTGCATAAAGACAGCATAAGTCAGTCATTGTTCCACCGGAGATTTGTCCAATTCAAGGTATCAGGCAAACCAACATCCCATGCCTCAGCCCAGTGTGCGAGATAATGGTGATACACTCTTCCCTCCAGGGTCACATGCTGCCCTACTCGAACGGCCATGTCCTGCGTCGGAGTTACGTAGACCAGTGGGGGTTCGCGTGGATATGCGTTCGGAATCCATAATGCAATTGGAAATTTGTAGACGGTACCGCGAAAGGACACTGGTATTGTGCCGGTCAGGTGGAGGAGTAAGGCAGAGAAACCGGTTTCGTATGCTGCGGGATGAGCGACCTTCATTAGCACCAACAATTCCAGATATGAAACAAAGCGATCAATGCGCTGTAGCATAATGTATGATAACTTACTATACACATCCGTTCGGGGCGAGAGTGAGGGATATTGTGCGAGGACATTGGCGACATCGTAGTAAGTGCGATTGGGATCTTGGTAGGTTTGCTTGGGATCATAGTGATCCTGGACAAGTCAGTATTTCTCTACGATGGGAGAATTGAAAGTGGGAACGAACCCGAGTCAGCACACTGTATAGCCAGTTCAATGTCCTCTGCGGCACTGCAGCCATGTCGAAGGGGCGGATACAGGAGCTCGCATGGTGGGAAGTTGTCATGTCAAGAATGCTCGCCCAAGCTAGAGGCGCTCTCCATCTTCCCCGCATCGTGTCTTGGCTGGAGCCATCACCGCCATCTCCATGTGGTACTTGTGGAAGGCTAAGGGCAGCTTAAATGCATCAAAATATGGAGAAAACACCAGTCATATCTAATTGATGTGATGGAAAGTTCTGAGATAAGTCATCGAATTGACTATCGACAAAGATGAGAATAGTAGAGGTCAAATAGCCACGCCGCCATCCATCACTGTCGTTAACGGTATCGCTAATGCACAGAAAAGGTAATACTACATGTACAATCACAGAGTACCTAACGCCGTAGAATGCAAACTTTTTCGCTCCTCTCCCCTCATGGACGGTCAAGAGAACGTCACTGGAATAAAGAGATCAAGCTCGGATTTTCCTTCTGACCCTTCTCCCCTTCTGAGCATCGGCAGGCTCCTCGTAGACCTCGGTCCACACGTCTTCAAAAGTGGTCTTCTTCCGACCAATCTGGCCCTCGAAGAAGTTCAATTTACGCACGACCTCCATGGCGCCGGTACCCAGACTAACGGTCTTACCCATAATGATGCATTCGGAGACACCCTCGATTAGATCGGTACGGCCAGCACCACCAGCATCAAACAGATGGTCCGCAGTCTTCTCAAAGGAAGCGAGTTGCAGAACAGAGTCACGCATCTTCGCAAGACCGAAACGAGTGATACCAAGGACTTCGCCCTTGTACGTCATGACATCAGCAAGAAGTTGCATATGACGAGGGTCAATGCCCATGTCCTTCATGACCTCGCTGATTTCTTGGACAATCGTGACTCTGGCCGCTTCGATACCAAGAACATCACGCATCTCCATGACGTTATTGGTAGAGGTGCGGAGACCATTGACACCAAGCGTGGTCATGCACTCCTTCAGCCCGTAACCTTCAACAAGGAGTGTATTGGTGCTGGATGTATCGTCGGTCCGGATGATGGCGCGGCTTGCTTGCGGATGACCAAGCACCTGTATATCGGGAAGGATGCGCTTGAGATGCTTGAGGCGGAGGAAAGGATCGGCACTGGTTGCTGCAATTTCGGTCTTGGATAGAGACGCTTTGCTGGCAGGGTCAATGTCCATGTAGATATGGATATGAGAATTGGTGCTCCGGAATTTCAGATCATCGGCCTTGAAACGCTTGTGGTTCTTGATGGCGTCGACGATGTTACGGATCTTAAGCTCAAGCGCCAGATTTTGAATGGTCTCCCAGTTAATCTTGACAGTAAGGTAGGCCTCCTTTCCAGTCCAGGCTTCTCGGACATAGTGAATAATATCCCTCAGGTACGTCTTTTCAATACGTCCCTTAACAATACGTGCCGCGATGACATTGTCTTTGGTGACGAGGTCACAGGAGATAACAGGGGTACTGATCTCCTTCGATGCGTTGATGATTTCCTTAATACGTGGAACACCTTGAGTGATACTCATACCAGCAACACCGGCAAAATGGAAGGTCTTCAAGGTCATCTGAGTTCCCGGTTCACCGATTGACTGTGCACCAACAGCACCAACGGCGTGGCCAGGCTCGACCTGAGCCTTCTTGTACTTCATCAAACACGATGTAATGAAGGTTCTGAGAGTCTTCTCTGTCAGCTTTCCGGTGTGGTTCAAGCCCTTCTGGCTCCTCTCGTCTGATGGATCAATATCACCGCCACGAGAGATCAGCTTGTCAGCTTTGCTGGATATGTATTGCTGAATCGACTCAAGGAAGTCACGCGCGCTCTCGAATTGATCAACACCGTGGTCGCTTCTATCCATGTAAGACAGCTTATTGCCCAGCAGATCTTCGCGAACCAGTTTTGCACGCTCCTTGGAAAGCATCTCTTCACATACTTCCATAATTTCGTGTGGAAGCAGACTCCGCTCGTCATTATCGTACGTGATGGACTCAGCATGGATGAAAGTCCGGTCAAAGTGGACAGGCTTGGCTTTACCTTCCATGTCGACAGGATCCAACTTGTCGTCACCATATTGGAACTGAACGATGGCATCTGAAGAGTTTCGGACGGTGTCATCGTATCTACTGGAAAGGTCCTCGAGAGACTTCATGAGACGACGGGACATGTAACCGGTTTCTGCTGTCTTGACAGCAGTATCGACCAGACCTTCACGGCCAGACATTGCGTGGAAAATGAACTCGGTAGGCAATAGCCCAGAAAAGAAACTGTTGCGCACGAAACCTTTCGACGGAGGCTGTCGAGCGTTTTTCGGAAAATGGGGTAGCGTTCTGTCCTGGAACCCGTCCTGCACACGTTGACCACCAATAATTTGTTGACCGACCAGGGCAACCATCTGTGAGACGTTGATACTGGAACCCTTCGATCCTGAAGTAGCCATGATCAAAGGAGAGTTGTACTTGCTAAGTTGAGCAATACACTCGTCACCTGCTTGTTGACGGACCTTGCTGAGAATACCAGACAGTTGGTTCTCCATAGTCTGCAACTCATCACAACCAGGGTATTTCTCAAGTGTTCCAGCCTTATATTTGGCAATGACTTCGTCACACTGCGCGTAAGCCGCTTCAACGAGCTCATTCTTTGATCGTACCAGGCTCTCACTCGGGTAGACATCTGTGATACCGATAGAGAATCCCATGTTTGTGAACCAACGCGCAGATAGCTTAGACAAGCGGTTCATACCCTCGGCGGCGGCCGCGGGACCGAAATCTCTGAGCATAATGTAAAAGACATTGTCCTTCTTTCCGGAACCAATGGTGGCCTTGTCCATCACACCGCACATGACTTCGGAGTTACGGATGACCAGCCAGCCATCGTTTGGATCCAGGTCCTTTGGCCGACCATCCTTTGGCGGTTTGAATTCTCTGCAAGCGGCGTCAAGGTTAACCAGAACAGGGTCGTCCTTGCTGGGGCGCATGAGGATGTTGAAAACCTGCTTTCCTGTCCACAGCATCTGGGGCTTGAGGACAGCAGGCGGAGGAAGATCAAATCGGGTTTCCGGCCCCAGCATATAGAGACAAATTTGCGTAAAGGACCGACGGTCGAAGAAATTATCCTTACTGCTTAGGATATAGGCAGCACTGATGAAATCTTGAATGGCAGAGATGATGGGTTCTCCGTTCTTCGGGGTGGCCAAGTTGTTCTTGACACCCATCAGCTCCATAGCTTCGGCTCTCGCTTCTTCCGTCTGGGGCACATGAAGATTCATCTCGTCACCGTCGAAATCAGCATTGTACGGATTGCAAACACACTCGTTGAGCCGGAACGTCCGATGGGGGCGAACTTTAGCGAAGTGAGAGAGGATACTGAGCTTGTGAAGCGAGGGTTGTCGATTGAAAAGAACGATATCGCCATCCTCAATGTGACGCTCGATCACGTCTCCTTCTTGGATCTGATCCGCAATCATGTTCAGATTACCGTATTTCAAAAACAGCTTGAAATCCGAACCCTTCTTGATAATGTAGTTCGCTCCTGGCCATTTCTTTGTTCCGTTTCGAACCCTTTGCTGCAGTTTCTCCTTGTTGTAGCGGGTGACAACTTCGGGATAGGTCATGTTCTTCGCCACTAATTCTGGGACGGCGACTTCATCAACTCGTAGATTGGGATCAGGCGAAATGACGGTTCTACCGGAGAAATCAACTCGTTTCCCAGAAAGATTACCCCGAAATCGTCCTTGCTTTCCCTTCAAACGCTGCACGAAACCTCGAATAGGCTTGCCTAGATCGGCTTTGTTGAGACCAGGGACATCGCTGTTGATGTAAACAGCAATCTGGAGCTGCATGTAGTCCCAGCATTCCACGATAGTCTGAACTGGTGCTCCTTTCATAAGGGCGTTCTTCAGGTTGATGTTACTCTGGACAATATCTCCCAGCTTGGCTGTCAAGTCATCCTCGGTGGAAGCAGCATCTTGGCCAACGGAGGGACGGATACACACTGGGGGCGCGGGAATAAATTGCCAGAGGAACATTTCAGGTCTGGCTTCCTTCGGGTTCAGTCCAAGCAATTCACAGTCGGTATCGGAGACCTTCTTAAACAGATTGAGAACACGCAGGGCATTCATATCATCCTGAGCCTTCTTGTAGTGCTTCTCTACCTCTGCGTTCGAAGTCCTAGCTTCATCGAAAGAACGGTCGAAGACAATCTTGCTGGGCGGTGGAACCTTTTTCACTGATGTCGACACGTTGAACGCACGGAATTTGTCGTGTGTGATTTTGAGCGCACTGTTACCGGCCTTTTTAACCACGCCATTGATAGCACCACATGCCTCACAGGTCCGCGTCTTCCGGCAGCGTTCGTTGATACGTTTCGCAATCTGTAACCGTCGAAGATTGTCCAACCCCGGCCGACGCATCTCGCGGAGAAAAGCACGTCGCTCTGCCTCGGGCAGCAGAATGCGCGAACACTCCTTGCAAATCTCCTGCAGAATGCTGATAACACGTTTGAAGTATCCGACATGGAAGGCAGGTAGGACGAGTCTCACATGGCCGAAATGACCGTTGCAGACCTGAAGAGAGCCACCGCATGTTTGGCAAGTGGCGGTCTTGCTTGAGATACCCATGCGCCCATCGAGAGGACCGTGGGGCACCACCGCTCTGTCATGTTCGAGATCGAAGAACTTCCGGTCGGAGACCTCTACTACAGCTTGGCTGACTATGTCGTCGTTGGACCTGTTACACCGAATCCAGAATTAGTCACAATCCAATCATCCAACACCATGACAGTAAGTCTCTGAAGGCGGATCAAGGACATTCATACAGTACACCGAATTTTAATTCTTTTATAACTTTGGGGACACGGTCTATGACCTGGGCCTTGCCCAGGTCGACCTGCACACCTTCTGGAGGCTGCATTGCCGTTGTCAAGAGCTGATCATGGCAATGAGCCACAGATGACTAAACCCAGCTGCAGACGGCCACGCTGTGTAAGTTCGGCGCGTATATTATGCTCCAAACGGAAAGTGCTCCGTGGTGAAGATAAGCCAGAGACCGCTGCGATGGTGAATTTTGACCAGAAAGGAGCTGAAGAGAAAAGGCGACCGTTGAAGGAGAAATCGTTCAGATCATTGCGGCGGCGGGGTCGGCGACGAACTTTTTTGCGGCCAGAAGCTCCAGCTCCGGCCCCTCAAACGTTCCGACCAATCAACATCCAGAATTTCATCCAACATTGGAGATATTGGTGTGATAGTTTGCTGATACTGTAAATGTGCAGTAGATATAGACAGGGGTATATTGAACGATTAATAAATAGATATACAACATAAACAAGATGATACTATTCTACAGATGCGGAAGCATTTCAAGCGTTTATTTGGCGAGGAAGGCCTGGAACGCCTTGTGCTCAATCACCACGTTTCCAACAGCCCTCAGTCTCTTTCGTCCTTCTTTCTGCTTCTCCAGCAGTTTCCGGCGCCGACTGACATCACTAGCATGGAGCTTGGCCAAGACATCTTTTCGGTAGGGTTTGACCGTCTCTCGGGCGATAATCTTTTTACCAACAGCCGCCTGGATCACGACCTCGAACAGTTGTCGATCGACATGCTCCTTGAATTTGGTCACCCATTGTCGTCCGAGCCTTTCCACTTGACTCAAGTGGACGAGGCGAGCAACAGCATCGACAGGCGCCTTATTAACCAAGAGTTGCAGCTTGACGATGTTCCCTGTTTGCCAAGCGGACTCCTCATAATCCAGGCTTGCGTAGCCTTTGGTGGATCCCTTGAGCTTGCCGAAGAAGTCATCGACCAGTTGAGCAAGAGGCAGCTCATACTTAAGAATAACCTGCGTCGCTGTGAAATACTCTAAACTCTTCTGCTCGCCTCGGTTTGCCTCACAAAGTTCGATGACCTTGCCAAGGTATTCCTCGGGGAAGGTCAGTGTAGCCAGGACGTAGGGCTCTTGGATCTCAGCCACCTTAGAGCGCAATTCTTCGTCTTCCGGAAATTTGGCAGGGCTGGTAATGATCTCTTCTTTTCCGTCCTTCCAAATGATCTTGACAGGTACTGATGGAGGTGTGATGATGATGCTAGCACCGTGCTCCTGACGCAAGCGATCCTCAAACACAGAACAGTGCAGTGTGCCAAGAAATCCCAGTCTGAAGCCGGCGCCAAGAGCCTCTGACGACTCCTTCTGCACGGTGATACTCCTGTCGTTAAGTACGAGCTGGTTGATACTGTCTTCCAGGTGCTCAAAATGGTCTGCATCCACCGGGTAAGCCGCCACAAAAACCATCGACTTGGGCTCCTCAAAGCCCGGAAGCGGTTCAACGGCTTTCTCAAACCCGACCCTTGTAAATGTGTCACCAATCTTCGCTTCTTTGCTTCGTTTCATACCAGGGTTGAAGTAGATGTATCCAACTTGGCCTGCACGGAGCACGCTCTGTGGTGTTTCGTTTGGATACATGATTCCAACCTCGCCAACATAGTACTTGAGACCCGTCGCAAACGACACGACCTGCTGGCCCGCTCGAATTTCACCGTCGAAGATGCGGACCAGACAGATTACGCCTTTGTAGGAATCGTACCAGGAGTCGACGAGTAACATTCGCAGGGGCTTCTGGCAATCGCCGATGGGGCTGTTAAGAGTCAGTAACGGAAGCAGCTTATGAAGATAGACAGGGAAATAGCCATACGCTGGGATCTTCTCAATAACTGTCGGAAGTAACTTTTCAACATTGAGGCCAGTCTTGGCTGAAACCATCACTGCTTTCTCGGTGTCGAGCTCGAAGGAATTCTTCATCTGCTCAAGAGCTCGCTCTGGTTCAGCCGAGGGCAAATCTACCTTGTTGATGACTGGAATCAATTCCAAGCCCTGCGCGAAAGCGAGGTAGAAGTTCGCAACGGTCTGTGCCTGGATTCCTTGACTGGCGTCGACCAGGAGCAATGCTCCTCCGCAACTGGCATAACTGCGCGATACCTCTGCACGGAAGTCCACGTGGCCCGGAGTATCAACCAGGTGCAATAAATAGTCTTCACCATTGTGATTGTATATCATCGAGCAGGTTTGCGCCTTCACGGTGATGCCACGTTCCCGCTCCACGTCGAGCTTGTCCAACACTTGTTTGTTCGAGCCGGGCTCAATCGTCCCTGTGAGTTCGAGCAGGCGGTCGGAAAGTGTGCTTTTGCCATGGTCGACATGGGCGACGATGCAAAAGTTTCGGTATCGCTCGATTGGAATCGCTGCTATTCTGTTCTCGAGGTTGGATACCGGCTTTGTAGCGGTTGATCTCGATCCGGCGCGAGAAGCGGAGCTGGTGAAAAATCGGGGAGCGTTAGCAAGGACGAATGGCGCCCTGATAAGGCTTGCAGCTGTGCCTTTCGGTGCAGCGCTCAGCCATCTGGCTAACTGCAGGCATCCTCGCATCTGGAGTACTGCAATGGCATGGGAATAGGATGCCTTTTGAGATGAGGATTCGAGTTGTCCACTGCCGATTCCGGAAAAAAAAGTGCGGCACCGATTCACTTGCTGCGGAGAAAAAGTGCAGAGTCCCGGGCGGTGGAACACACGGATTGCTGCGGTGACTATCGAGGTAAACAAAAGCTGCCTTATTTTTGACCAAGTCAAGAGACCTCACGAACGAGCAAATATCCCATCTACAACCTCGAGTTTGACCAAAATACACTGAAAATGTCCGCAACGAAAGATAAATCCAAGGTGCACAAGCTCTCCATCAAAGGTGAGACACGAATTCGGCGTTTGTTGATTGATTCTTGAAGCTCACCCATTTATGACAGGCTCGGCGAAGCTCGTGGCAGAATTCGTGAGTCAATTCCATCGATCTGGATGGAGGACGCTGGTTGACAAGATTTTAGTTTGAATACTCGATAAACTCCATCCTGTATGTTGATGTGCACTAGAGGATGGGTGCAACTCATACTCATCCCTTTGGCTCCTAGGTTTCAACGAGGGGTATATCCACCAGAAGACTTTACAACGTCAGTTTACGCCAGCCCACGATAGCGGTAGATAATTAACTCTAACGCGGATACAGTGTTAAGAAATATGGTCTCAATATGCTCGGTTGGTCCATTACCTCGCTACCCGCCAACTCTCGCTGATCGAGTCCAGTTACCGCCGACGACCAGGTCAAAGCCTACATCAAGAAGATTATGTCGCAGTTGAACAAGTGGATGCTTGGAGGCAAGATATCGAAACTTGTTGTGGTGATCACAGATAAGGAGACTGGGGAGCACGTCGAAAGATGGCAGTTTGATGTAAGGCAGCCCCCTGAATGGATGCGCGCAGAGGCTCATCAGAATTCGATTATTATCAGGTCCAAATATTCGGAAAGCATACCAAGAGCCAAACTTCTCGAAAATCTGCTGATAAGGAGAATGCCACTCCGAAGTATGCCTGCCTCTTCCTCCCACGTCCAACACCCACGATACTAATGAAACCTGTCTGTGCAACAGAGACCCGGAGATGCAAGATTCGACGGCGGTTGAGAAGACGGAGAAAGAAATCCAGGAAGAGATACAGGCTATCTTCCGCCAAATTACAGCCTCTGTCACTTTCCTCCCAGTCCTCGACGGAGACTGCACATTCAACGTCCTCGTGTACGCTGACGCAGACTCGGAGGTGCCCGTCGAATGGGGCGACAGCGATGCCAAAGAGATCAAGAATGCCGAGAAAGTGCAGCTGCGAAGCTTCAGTACGAATAACCACAGAGTGGAGACCCTGGTCAGCTATCGCCTGGCCGAATGACCGCTTATTGTCCAGATTTGGGTAAATGGTTCTTGCAGGATGGCGTTCAGGAAATGGAGTTACACAGCTGGATTACCTACACTTTGTGATGGCTTTCAATCTCTTTTAATGCAAAGGCGATGTGGAATGTCCTTTGGAAGACTGTAGTGAATACACATACCCGTTGGCCGCGGCTTAATAGAATCTTGCAGCTCATAGTAGAAGCTACAGGAGGAAGCTGCCAGGTGCCCCTACGGCTTCGCAAAGCCAGATCGAACTTATCACTAGAACACCTATCACTGCACATCCAACGGGCAAACTGGTAGAATCTATCCTTGCTACTCGGCCTGATCTTTCTTTTTCAATCTAACGATTCTTCCGCGGCACCCTAATCCAATCCCAATCGCTATCTCTTCATAAGAAACGTTGGGAGGATGTAGCAGAGAAGAAGAAGCTTACAAACGCAAAAAGGTCACAAAAGCAGGTAAAACGGCTTCATTTATCTATGCCAAAGATGGCAAGGATCATCTAGATGCTAAGGAAGCAAAGCAAGTTGAAGATATCTGGCAGCAAATCGGCATGGAACTGATCTCCAGGGTCCAGTTGACGCAGTAGAAAGATCACGCGTTTCTCTCCCCAGCTATAACTTGGAGAATTTCCTGTCGATCCGGATTCTAACTTGATAGATGATCCAGTTGAATCCGCGTCGATATTTGGTTTGGTTACGTTGGTGGTTGAAATCTACTGGAGCTATCACGGAGCTCATCTTGGTCACTGTGACTGACCTCCTCGCTATTCCCAATCTGTCAAATGTAAGATCAGCCTCTACCCACAGCTTAGAATTATGACGTGCAGTTGGTTCCTGGTCAATCTGAATTATGCAGTCCACTACGGTATTGCATTCGTGTCAATCTGGTCTAAAGTCTTTGATGCTCGGTTGACTTGAAGGCTACTAAAGCAAATACCCTGCAGGACGACGAAGTGATAGCCCACGCAGCATCTACCGCAGTGATCGCCTCTGCGGGTTGAGGACGCCAACAACAGGCAACTCATCACGAGGAAACGAAATCAAACTTAAGAAGTTCTCTTGGGCTATGGGAACGATGAAGTGTGAAGCTCCTGTTCTTGAACTGGCTTGATGAAACGACCCAGTGTACATCCGCCCCATCCCAGACTTCGCGACAAGACATACATCGTGCCGGGATCCTCATCAGAAATGAGGCATCTGCCGCTAATCAGGCTGTCAAAATCCAATGCCGATGGTTTCATGATGAAATCCTTGCAAAATGACAGTGATGGCTGCCTGTCAGTGGTGAATCCTGATAGGGCTAAGATTGACATTCTCTGTCGGCCATGTTCTTTGTCTGTCCGTCTTGATATTGTTCTTGCCTCCCGCCTTGATATTGTTCATCTCGATCTCATCACAAACAGGTCTCTGCCATTCTGGTCATTCTCTTTCAGCTTGTCAATATGGACAAAGTCATGATCAACGCTTTTGTGAATCGGGGCCCACCGCGATGTCATCTAAATATTGTTACATCTCTCCCTGGCCATTCCATATATTGTTTGTTTCGGGTGTTGCCTCCGAGTGTTCAGACGGACCGTCACCGCAGGTTAGATAGCCAGCTGCTACACTTCGGCCTCGATCCTGACTTCTACAATGCTCAATCTCCATATCTAGACACCCTTGGACCTGGTGTTCGTCTTCGTCTTCTGAGCCCATTGGCATCTTCAGGCAGCTCTATCGGCTGATACACATACAAGACTTTGGCACTTGATCGCTGGATCGATCACAGTAAAACATGAACTCGACATTTGATCCTTGGACGCAGAACATCACTCTGACTCAGTCCGACGGGACGACGGTCATCTCATCTCTAGCACTAGCGGACGACTACCTGCACTACATGATTCGTCTCAGCATCAACTATGGCGCCCAGCTCGGCGCATGTGCCGTGCTCCTCCTAGTCCTCTTGCTGCTGACAAGACCAGAAAAGCGCGTCTCATCCGTTTTCGTTCTGAACGTCGCTGCGCTACTTGCCAACATTATACGTCTGGGCTGCCAGCTCAGCTATTTCTCCACCGGATTTGCTAGGATGTATGCGTTGCTGGCTGGCGACTTTTCCAGAGTGTCACGCGGTGCTTATGCCGGCCAAGTCATGGCGTCTGTGTTTTTCACCATAGTCCTTATTTGCGTGGAGGCCTCCTTGGTGCTTCAGGTGCAGGTTGTCTGCTCCAATCTCCGCCGTCAGTATCGGATCCTGCTCCTTGGTGCCTCGACGCTTGCTGCCCTTGTTCCGATCGGGGTTCGCTTGACTTACTCGGTGCTGAACTGCATGGTGATCATGCACGCAGGAACCATGGACCACCTGGATTGGCTAGAGAGTGCCACTAACATCGTGACAACCGTCAGCATCTGCTTTTTCTGCGCCGTCTTCGTCGTCAAGCTTGGCCTCGCCATCAAAATGCGAAAGAGGTTGGGTGTGAAGCAATTCGGTCCGATGAGAGTCATTTTTATCATGGGTTGCCAAACCATGACCATCCCAGGTAAGGCCCGGAGAGGATCCACTATTCAATGAAAAAAGATCATACTGACCAAGCTCCATCAAGCCATTTTCGCCATTTGCCAGTACTTCAGCAAAATCCCGGAATTCTCGCATAACGTCCTAACCCTCGTCATCATCTCACTCCCTCTTTCCTCCATTTGGGCTGGATTCGCTCTTGACCAGGCAAACTCCACCGCGCGCTCTAGCGAGTCTCGTCACCATCTGTGGAACATACTCTCCTGTGACGGTGCCACGAGAGACAAGCCCAGCCAATGTGTCAGCTCCCCCATGACTTCGCCGAACACCACATGTTACTCAGAGCAGTCAACCAGTAAACCCCAGCAGGATTCGGAGAACGAGTTCGGCATTTCAGTGGCCCATGACATCTCCATCCACAGCTTCCGAAAGGACGCCCACGGGCATGTTTGAGCAGCCATTACATTTGAGGAATGAATAAGCGGTTGATTTATCTGGAGTTGTCTTGCCAGGTGGCTTTCCTCGCTTTCAGTTGATACAGGCCATATGCTGCAACGCCAGTTGTGTCATCATAATCCTAATACCTTCCTTTTTGTTTCTTTTCCTTTCTTTGCTGTACTTTCCCATCGATGTTGCGTGGCTATCACTTCATCGTTCTGCGGGGGGGTTGCTTTAGTAGCTTCAAGTCAAATGATCTTCAAGGGCTTCAAACCGGATTGGCAGGCATTTACAATACCATAGTGGACTGCATATTTCAGATGGACCAGGAATGGCTCAACTAACATAAGGTAGACATTAACACGAGCTTCGTAATAGCTCCAAGAAGGCAAGACAGAGGGACTGGGGAATTCCTCCCTTTGGAGCTTTCTCGTGTCACTGTCATAGTACACTCAGATGACGCCGTTGAACACACATTCAACCGAAGATTTGCCTTTTCCGCTATCATCATGAGAACTTCACCTAATGGGACAGTGAGATGACTGCGCGTGCAGAATGGAATAAATAGCGCGTCCAAGGGGCTCCTAGACGCTCTCAAGACACTTAAGATTTAGAGATATCTATATAAATTCTAACTCCACAGTTGACCGCAAGGATGCCTTACACTGAGATGCAAGATAGATATGCAAATCTAGATTGAATCCCATGCCATATTCTAAC